CTACGTACTCCTCCGACTAAAGGTGCGGCTGAGCGCGGTGCTTTTGGCGCTGCCGCAGCTTCACCTTACTTTCAAGACTCGCACATGGTCACACCACGTTCAGCAAGCCGTACACGACGTATGCAACCTGACAACGAGCGTTCGCAAGACGCGCGAAGTGGTGGACGAGCTTTAACAAGTATTTCAGGACGACGTCAAACCGCTGCCGACGATTCATTAAGCAATGACGACGTTTTGTTGGGCTACGAGCTCCACGAAGACCCTCAAGACGAATTGACGCGCCAGATGAAGGAGATTGCCGCGCTGAACGACTCCGACCCGACGCCGAGGATTGAAATGGCCTCGCACCGACCGTTAGACCGTATTACGCCGTTCTCGGGAGCCTGCAACAAGTGTGAAAACTCTATGCAGTGGCTGCGTACCTTCGTGTACGAGATTACCGGAATGCACACTGAGGCTGACAAGTGGTGCGTGCCTTTCGAGCTGAGTCTTCGTGATGGAGCCATCCATTGGTTCCGTCAATTACTGAAGAAGACGAAGCGCAAGTGGAAGCAGCTGAGTAATACGTTTATTCGCTATTATCGCTCACAGTTACTCAGACCGCGCTTTCTCGCTACTACTCGGCGAAGCGCGAGCGAGGTGAACATCTTTGCGGCTACCTCAACCGTCTGAACGGCTACGCACGGAACGCGCGTCTTCAGTTTGAGAAGGGCGAACGCGACGCAAAGAAGCATGTCCAGCAGTTTCTGGTGACATGCGGCGATGATCACATGGCAGATAGCTTCTACCATGCTCGTGTCAGTGACATCCACGAGCTCAAAGAGATCATTGAGAACGTGATCAAGGGCAAGGAGCAGATGGCGAAGCGTGACGGGATGTACCGACACTCGCGGAGACGTGACAGTCGCAATACTAGACGAGAAGAGTCGTATCGGCGTGACCGCAGAGACTCCGATCGTCGCCGGGACGACTACCGCAATCAACCCCGGGTGACACTAGCTGAAGCTTCGTTGGACGACCTACTAGCTGAACTAGAGGTACTCAAGGCACTGTCGAGCGTTTGGATGATGAAGGTGATGCATACGTAGACGACAGAGAAGTCTACGGAATAACCAATCCGACGGAGCGCGTAAAAATGCTTCAGCGGCCGACAATGCCCGCTGCGGCCAATGAGAGTGAGCGACGTGCTGCAGCTGAAGGCACGTCGCGCCCGCTCAAACAATCGTCAGCCACGACGGAACGTACCAGATCGCGAACGAGGCTTCAACCAAGAGCATCGAGGGGGCGATTGAGGCTACCGTGGCCGGCGCGACTACAATAATCGCGACTCAACAGAGACAATCGACGTCCGAAGTATCGGCCATGCGCCGCGTGTGGTGGGATGAACCATTCGGCTCACTACTGCAATAAACGGTGCAAGTTCTGCCGGCAAGGGCACGACGTCGTCAGTGCAAACTCTTTCGCAGCTTCCAAGACCTGGCGAAGTTCGTGGGAACCAAAGGCACGAAGGAAGAACTCCCGCCAGAGCTCAAGGACGTCGTCCAAGAGCGCCATTTAAACTAGGCAGCCCGCCAACTACAGCTGGGTTGGTCCCTA